TCAAGGCCCACGGGATCAACTGTTTTATTAACCGTCAGTTGATCTACAACTGGCCTGAACAGCTCTTCACTGATGCTGGCATCATGTCCATCGAGCACGCCGATTTCGACGGTATTGAGCGCCTAGCCCTAGTCACCGGCGGTGAGATCACATCTACCTTCGACCATCCCGAGCAGGTGAAGCTGGGCCACTGCGACCTGATTGAGGAAGTTATCATTGGTGAGGACACCCTCATTAAGTTCTCTGGCGTTGCGGCGGGGCAGGCTTGTACTATTGTCCTGCGGGGTGCCACCGACCAACTTCTCGACGAAGCCGAGCGCTCGCTTCATGATGCCCTGGCTGTACTGTCCCAGACTGTAAAAGAGCCCAGGACAACTCTTGGTGGCGGCTGCGCTGAGATGCTAATGGCTAAGGCGGTTGAGGGCGCCGCAACTCGGGTGGAGGGCAAGAAGCAAATGGCCGTGTCTTCGTTCGCCATTGCTCTGCGCCAGTTACCAACCATTCTCGCGGACAATGCTGGTCTGGACTCGAGCGATCTTATTGCCCGGCTACGGAAGGCTATTTATGACGGCATGTCGACTTATGGCTTGGATCTAATGACCCCTGGTGGAGGGATCTGCGATATGAGGGATCTCGGAGTAATCGAGAGCTACAAGTTGAAGAAGGCAGTCGTTTCATCAGCGAGTGAAGCAGCAGAGGTAAGACGCCCCCCCCCCCAAATGATGTTACTGTGAGACTAACCTAGACAGCTTCTTCTAAGAGTGGACGACATTATACGGGCAGCACCACGCAGACGGGAGAGGCATTAGATGAACATTGGGATGAGAATGAGGATGTATCATAATCATAGACTAGGCCAGACTACCCACCCAATACCCGTGGAGCAGAGAGAGTACCTGGCATAGGCCTTAGGAGAAACACATTGTTCTATTAGGTGCCAGATATATCTATCCATCCGTCACGCTAGGTCATGAAGAAGTGCACCAGATGGTAAAATAAACTCACACGAGTAACATTCTAAATGCTGGTACTCTAAACCTGACCTTGAGTTCGTAGGTCAAAGTCATTCAAGATTGCGAGACTGTTCCGTTCATGAATTCTGTGCGCGACCGACATATGCTTTAAGTGATCCAGCGAGTGCCTAGAACTCACGATAGTATAATCCGAACAACGACATACGCCCCGGTCTCCTTGCTGCGGCTTCAACTATACCTCTAAGAATCGACCAAGTCGCTGATGCATTGAAAAACATTTCCCCACCATCACATAAAAGTACATCACGTCATGAAACGTTGCTCCCGATCTGGGCATCTTGGCCCCTGGGGAAATGTGAGATTCTGGTATCTGTCACAGCTGCCATGTAGTAGGCGGAATTGTGGCAGTATTAAGCATAAACTTTTAGGTCCTTATCTTGGTCGGGTATCAGCTCGGTGGTGGTAGAAAAAAGCTCCGTAAGGGTAAAAACGAGAAATTGTTACTTTTCCGATAAAAAGCTCGGTAGTAGTAAAAAAACTTCCGTTTTTACATACCTCTATATAAAGCCTGCTTTATATAGCATATGCTTAATATATATTGTTATTTTTTAGTTAATAATTGTTGGTTGTATCATAGGTGATGATGACTAAGGGCTCCATAGCCTTAGTCATCTCAATGGCCTTAGTCATCTCATATGGGGACTATAAAAAGGTTGGCAACGCTTTCAACCTTTCAACTAGATAGTTCCCTCATTAGAGACACTTGAATATACCAGTCTCCACCCTTTTGTTTTTTGTTATTATGTTTTTTTCTTTTATTTCGTACGTACGTACACGTACCTACAAAAGGCAATACCCCATTTTCATGGCTTTCGACCAAGATGACTGTTGAAATGTATGCAGACCGCCGTTTGCACGGTCATTTTCTCCAGTAGGGAACCAGGTTCGATGTACGATGTAGTTATGTACTTTGGCACTGTGGACTCGGTCCAACCAACACGAGAACCGACACTTATAATTGCTTTTTGAAAAAGAAAAAGAAACTAACCACCGCCATATAAACCTTGTGTCCACCACGTAGGAGCTAGTTAAATCCTAACGGTTGTCCGAACTACCCTGTAATATAAAGATTTTTTTTTCTTAACAATGAAGCACATCCCGAAGGCCTCAGCTTATCTCGTTTGTACAGGGATGAGTGATGTTTTTCTTCATATATACACAGTATAGGGGAGGTGACGACGACAGTCTTCAAAGGGCATACCAGTAAAACGTGGACTGTGTACTTGTACCTAATCGTTCGGTAAGTACTGTGGTGAACATCCAAGCGAATAGGTAATAAGAATGACCCCTCCCCCATTTTCTGATCTCCTCCCGGGTAACTCTTCCCAAAGTTGGAGATTTAATCCCCCGACAAGAATTTGTTCACTCCGGGACATACTCGAGATTATAGACTAGGATTACGTGAGCTTCGAATCATTTTAACTTGAGAACATGTTTACCCTGATAATTATTACTTCAGCTAACTGGTTTGGTTTCTGGTGAAGTTTTACGGGTCTGTGTATGTTATTAAGTATATCGTTTCGGTGTTTGTGGAAAACATCATGAATGAGCAATTAGTCTCAACGCCACCCAACTCTCAAGATATTCACAAAGAATGTAGAAGCTCGCTAGCTTCTAGCACAGGCGTCGATATTCTAGTGAGCAACACTGCATATTTGGAGAGAAAAGACCCCCTTAGCTAAGAAGATAATAGCCCCTTGCCCAGAGCAGGGTAGATGAGGCGCCTTTTCAACCAAACACGGCTGCTTCATGGCCGAGGACTGACAACTCGCAATCATTATTCACTGGGCAGCCTTACCAGCAACTCAAGCTGATAGATCTGTGCACCCAACACGAGGGTCTATACCTCGATTGCGATGACTCTCTCGAGTTTTGGGACACCATCGCTAGCAAGCTCCCTTGGGACAACACAACCCCACAAGTGCGATGTTGGGTCGAGTTCGTCTGCCGGGATCGTAAGCAATGCCTTCTCACGGGCCAGATACCACCCCATCGCGAAGGGTCCGAGAAGCTCGACATTGCCATCGATGCCTGGCTCCAGATCACCGGGCGGAAACTCCTGCAGACTGCGCTCGAGAGCATGAGGACAGCGTCTGTCCTTGTGTTTGGTCCCGAGGAGTCCGAAGAGGAGCATTTATTCACGAAACACTGCCGCGACAGACTAAGGTCCAACATGGAGTACGTACGCATGCAGACTACGCGGAAGGGCAAGTCGAATCGTGTCTCAGGCGTGCGGCTCGTTCAGGCTATAGAGTCGATTGAGTCCCGGGTTCCAGGACAACGTCAATTGGCGGTGACGCGTGCACTTACTCCTGAGCAGTTCTATGATCCATCTAAAAGCCACGCTTATGAGAACACGTCCCCTGTTCAACAGCCTACTAGCGGCACTGCGGCGGCGCAGACCTCATCACCCATTTCTAGTAGCAGCTTTTGTAAGACTTCATCGGATGCCAGAATGCAAGCAGCTTATGAATCAAACACACAAGGTTGTCATACAGCAACTAAGACCGAAAGTGACAAATCCTTATCGCAGGCTGTCTCAACCCTTAAGTCTCTCATGGCAGATGAGGGCAACCTGCAAAGAGAACAGGGCCGCGAGCGGAGCCTGGACTTAAGCTTACTACAAGATCTAGGCCATATTGCTTCTCAAGAGCAAAGTTCGAGACAGCAGCAGCAACAACAGATAGGCCAACCCAGCATCGAGGCGTTCTCTACTTTTCTTCCAACAGGAAGGGATACCATGACTACACGATCACGCTCTAAATCTCAATCCCAGTCACGACCAACCCATCTCATCATTCCCCCTTCATCACCATCAACCACCCCCAGAGATAAGAGCAGAGCAGACGAGATACGTGATCAGCTCAACGACGACAACGAAAATGACGATGTCCCCATGATAGACCTCACCCAGTCCCCCATCGAGTCATCCCCATCTTCCTATACAGGAGACAGCCCAAGCGCTCGGGCAGCAGTAAACGAGATCACGACCACGATTACTCAGGCGCAGCTTTCGAATCTGATCGCAGCGGAAATAGGCGCCGCAATGGATGCCTTCGAGGAGCGCGCGGGGACGCGCATCGACCACCTCGAGTACCACTTCCGCAAGTTGTATGGGATCATGAGGGAGATACGGGCAATAACGGCAGCAACTACAGGTGGTGGTAATAGTCGGTCAGTGAGGATAGGAAATAGAGAAAGAGGAGGGGTTTGAAATTTAGGGGATGAGCTGTGTCCGAGGAAAGGGAGGAAGAGATCAGCTAGGGGAAAAGAGGAATAGATACAAAGGTAAATAGGTATTTATGTGAATAGCTTTTATAAGGTAACTAGCAAAGGTATTCTGTGATAGACTAATACCAACCTAAGGTAATTTCATGAATGTTATTATGGCCACCTGCTTGACTATAATATAAAGGTATTGTCTACATAGCCGTGGCGAGGACTCCAGCATGATACAATGGGGTTCTTTAACCCAAGAGACTCTTGGATAGGCCTCTAGGGTGGGTGATGTGTTACCCTCCCTCCCCTCCTAACCTAGTAAGTAACGGTATAGGTACAGAAACAAAGTATACAAAGCCTCTGGACTAAGTATACCGTGCTAGGTTTCTGTTGTTCCCCATGGGGTGTATTCTCTATGATGATGATGATGATGATGATATTTTTAACGTCCGGGCGGACCTATCTAGTATTATATACTGTAAGCCCTTATCCCTGTATAGGGCATAGGACGGTTGGAGTAAGGGAAAAACCCCGTACCAACGTGTTAAAGTAAACAAAGGAAAACCGCTTTTGATGCTAGGAAAAACCATATACCGTACATAACTAATACAAGAATTTTTATTGGCATTGAGCCGTACAAGATAAATTAATACAAGACTTTTTGTGGTACTGGAAGAAAACCTAGCATCTCAGGTAGGAAGGGTCTCTTGCTGTTAAAGTGCCCCCATACACTTTAACAAACAAGCGTGGCCACAGCGGGATTCGAACCCACGTACATTTAGTTCCCACAGAAATGTAAGCCAGGCGCTGACCAACTGCGCCATGTGGCCGAGGGTGTATTCTCTACTTTCAAGAAAAACTGCTAGACTGTGTGTACCGTCGCTACGATCCCTCTACAGACAGTGCGAATTATTCAGGAGAGTTATTCACACAACTCATTAAGTGACTTGTCATGTTTCTGACGAGGCTGATGAGGGATGGCAACGTGGGCTTCATTCGTAGAAAATAAAAGGCACTTATAGGGATTATTTATGACACTCGTCAACTGGTTACTTTCCTATTGAGAAAGAACTTTTAAGGAATTATTTTATATTACTGGCATAATTACATATGAGTACTTAGGTGTGTACGGATCCTGAAAACTTCGTCTGTAGCTCACAGGTGTGCCTAGGGCAAGACTATTCAGCACTGACAAGAAGCCTGAGATAGAAAAAAAAAAAAAGGAACGGTAGTGGCGTTTGCTTTTTACGTGAATTGACCAATGGTTAGCAATAAATGACCTCGCTCACGGAGATGGGCGTTGGCCAGGGATGGCAAGCATTCGGAAGTGTTTCCGTTTGGAGGTGGAATAAGAAATTCTTGAGCAATCTCAAACAAATACCTACTCTACCATCCCGACATCGATGCCAACGCCTTCCCATGTGGCTGGCTGCCGTATTCACGCGTCTGAGCGCACAGCTATCGTTAACATGATGACATCCCCTTACCAGAGAATTGGCCAATTAATAATTAAAGAGAACAAGGGGGTTTCCTCGCGTATTTTTCGTGTCCTCGTGTCGCGTCTGAGAGTAGGGCTCAATAGCGTGCTAGTCTCTGCTCATATACTAAAAGCTTCCCGCCTCCTTTGCGAATCATATTTCTTGATGTTTTGTTCCACTGTCCGAGTCATAGTATTCATTCTAACCAGATCGACTTCGCTGACCACGGCTTCAACCCCGCTAGATATAAATATCTTGAAATTTGACCCTTCAGGGGTTATTCAGTTAGCCCTTTTGAACATTTTTGGAGGTGGACTTCATTTTAGTGGCGAGAAAGGGCGTACCATTTGATGCTGAGAAGATACTTTTCGAGAATACTAGAGAAATCTGAGTGGTTCCTTTACTCCCTAATATAAGTTTAGTGAGCATGCGAAGAAATAAAGGAGATCCCGAGCTATCCGGGTGCCTTAAGCTACGTGCTACCACATCCCAAAGACCCATTTCTCCTCCCACATCCTCACAGCCGCCAACCCAACCGAATACGCCAGCTTCTTCTCGCGATCATGATATCAATGATCAGGCATCGCAAGCGGCAAGAAAATCAGGGACTATCAAGACAGTCAAAGGATCAAGGGAGACAGACCGGATGCCCCTGACCCCCGGGGAGAAGGTACGGCTACTTAAGATATGCTTCAAGCATGTACGTGGGATCTTGGATGCCCCGACGGGGAGCAAGAGTCTAGAGGATGAGTCTTACAGGCCTGTTCTAGAAGAGTTCTCCACCGACGTCCGGGGCGGCTTTTTTAAGACGTGTGCCGAAGTGAACATTGAGGTAAAGAGCATATGTCGGAGCCGGCGCAAGAGGACAAAAAGGGGGGTGACGCCGGCAAAACGAAACCCAGAGCCTGAACACGATGCTTGCATCGACCAGTGGGTGCGCGTATGGAAGTGCCGTGAGCTAAAGTTTTACCTCGACAAGGCAGGCCAACTCATTGAGGAGAATCTCGGGGCTCAAAATTTCAAACAGGTATTGGGATCTCGATTGGTAAACAAAAAGCTACCTAATAACCTCAGCGACCTTATCCTCGACCCTCCAGTCCAGCAGTTATACCAGAAGCACATTACAGACCTAGTGTTGTCAGTACAGGAAGATGCTGGAGACTCGACGGACTCTTCAACGTCTGATGAAAGCTCCTCGGACTCGTCAGATGAGTCCGAAGATGAGTCGTCTGATAAGTCTTCCAGTGAAGATTCTGACGAGGATTACCACAACAACGGTATGGCGAGCCTAAACACCAGCCCTGCCCCGCTACGTTCTATCGAGAAGGACCTTGATCCGGCCTCGCCACCGGCTTGGTCAGGCAAGGTTCTTCAACCACCTTTGAATCTACAGCCTGCCCAGTCATTTGATGATTTCTTGAATATTCTCGATGAAAACAAAGAGAACACTATTCAAGGACCCAACAGTGCTAAAAAAGATGGCAAAGGGGACGATATTTCTTTTTCTTTTCTTGAAGCATCCGATGCAGAGGAGGAGCCTCTGCAGTTCTCACTGACTCCTATCTTGAGATTTGGCAATAATACAGAAGGATCATCTAGACAGATCTTGCCAGCAACTTGGGAAAATTCGCTGTATAATTTTGAACCGCAGCCAAGTCCTATGTTCGGTATTCGTCCTTTATCCGCTATTATGAGCACGCCATTGCGTGGTACACCCTCTGTTGTGGGAACAACTGGATTGTTTGATGGGATTGGCTCATCTTGTGCAGAGTCGAGTAACAAGGCCCAGCCAGACAGGAATATATTAGTAGATATAGATAAAGCTGCGAGCTACGGTACACCTACTCCGACTACGCCGCAGAATGTAGATACCGAAGGGTCTGGTGGAATGTCCCAGATAGCGGCATCCATATCTTCTAAATCGAGCCAGAAAGAAACAAGTCAGAGCCTACCAAAGCCTAGGAAGCGATCAGCAACACCAGGTCGGCGAAAGCAGTTTGCGCAGAAGTTGGGCGGCAAACAGAAAACAGCAGCAACAGTTAAAGCCTCACACCAAGTACAGAAACCATCACAGTTCATGACTTCTGGAGTTGATAAAAGGGAGGTCAGACCATCCGTGTTCTATGGCCGGCCATCGTCTGCAAATGCCATCACTGCTGTTACGGATCAAGACATCCAGTCTCTACCGCGAGGAGGACCATCATACATCACGTCTACGTTCGCGTTATCGGGATCCGTTGACACGCCACCTAGAACACCAAGACGGCCATTCAAACACTACACACACTCTATTTCAGGGGATGGTGACTCAGCCTGCCCCAGGCCTAACGAACAACTTTTGTCGTCTCCGGACAGGGGCCAGGATGCGGGTACTAATTACAACGATGGTATTTCGGACATGGAGAGCTTGCCGGACATAGAGGAGCTTGGCAGACGCGTAGCAGCAGAGAAGATTGACACTACCGTCACTACGCAGAATGCCAACTACGCTACATCACCCAGAGAGCGAAAGATACAGAAATCGGAAGATCCGGGGTCACGTTGCCAGCAGCCAGACGGTACACTAGATGAAAACCGGAGCATTGGGGCTACTGGTAATACGGAGAATAATAACAATAGTCGCGATGATATGTCATCTTCGACTTCGACAAGCCGCAGCCGCAGCCGCAGCCGCAGCCGTCGCCATCGTAGCCACCTAAGCGAGCAACCCTTCAACACGCAATCCCCCTCTCACCAGGAGCCCTCAACCCCTAAAGTATCCTACCAAGACGACAGCAACAGCGGCGGTAGCAGTACCACTTCCTCAAGAGCTATAGGAGCGCCCTCCTCTCACCGCAATCATAAAACATCGTCTATGCCGGCGGATCACCAGAAAGAGAAGCGGGCAGTAGTAGCTACGGCAAAAGTAATCGAACAGAGCAGCTCTCAAGGACGCAAACGCAAGAAGAGCATTAGCGCCTACCCACCGCCGCGGAGTAGCAGTAGTAGTACTAGAAGTAGCAGTCCGAATGTGGCTAATTGGAATAATGACGAGAATCTCGACAACTCCTTCCTGTTCCTCCCGGCGGTGTCGTCTCCCAGCCTCGACCAGAATCTACCTAGGAAACGGCAGAAGCAGCAGCAACTACCAGACAAGACCGCTACCACCGCCAGTACCCCCGCAGACTTACCTTTCCCCAACAGAAGCAGCTCCTCGCTTACGCACCACGCAAAAAAGCACGAGCATGAGCAAGGACAAGGGGTACAAGATAGTACATCGTCATCTTTGTCTCTGTGCTCTTCCCCGCTGGCAACAGCAGCAGTAGCAGTATCAGAAGACCTCCACAACAACGTGTCATCATCAACATCGCTATCACTATCACTAGATCGTACCCGTAATCGTACCACCTGTCATGGTATCACCCCGAATCCCCATCCCCATCGTCCCAACAACCGACGATATCAGCCCCAACCACAGCCCTCCCTCCCCTTCTCAACCCCCGCGAAGCAGACCCGTACCCAATTATGGCCTTCGACGTCATCGTCATCGCTCACCGGGGGCAGCGGGGCCAGTTCGAACCTTTTCGTCTCGTCCGGGTCCCTTACCCCGGGGGGACGACGGGACAATAAACAGCGGCAGCGGCAGTGGTGGCGAGACCGGGTCCCGTCGGGACAGCAGCAGCAGAAGAACGAAAAGGGTACCCCGCACGATCTACATCAGGAGAACGGGAACAGAAACAGGGGCAGGAGCAGGAGCAAGAGCAAGAGTAGAAACAGAGGGGCCAGCAAGTTTAACAACAGGTCGGCCCGCGAGATGACGGCCATGACAGCGGACTTCGAGCAGCTCGATGCGGAGAGGAAGTGCAACTTCCTGCGCAGTAAGAACAAGCGGCTCGAGGATAAGGTTCAGGCTATCGAGCAGTGGAAGCGAGAGCTCGAGCTCAAGCTGGGGAACATATCGAACCCGAACGAGCAGACGGGCACTACTGCGGTATAACTTACCTAGATTGCTAAACTTACCTCTCTGGCAAAAGGCCATACCCTTGCACACCTTAGATAGATATATGACATCTGGTCAGTTAGAAAAGCTCGGCTTGAGATACACAGCGGGCACATGTAACTAAAAGACAAGAGACGAGGAGATACCGGAAAATAAATGGGAGGGAAAAAAAGGAAGAGGGAGAAAAGAGTTTAGTTGCCAAGACCGTTTGAAAAACCCATCTGTGTACTATTGATGACCATCGTACGTGGGTAAGTAGGTAGTAGTGTATTATTATTTACGTAGTATATCATCGTGTCAAACTAAAGAAATTCCGTACCCTGACCAGCAAGGTCTTTGTAGTTGCTTTTTAGCAACTTGATACAACTTCATG